CTTGCCGCCACCACCGTTACGGCTTGCATCGGTCGATTCGAGTACCTGTAGTTGACCGTTCAGCTCGAGTGGGCTCCTTATGCTATTCGTTGGTTATTATGTATTTCAGTGCACCTACTACTTATACGGTTATACATCATAATGTGTTATTATTGTATACTCAGTACTCGAATTATTGTCCGTACGTTCATATTGACCATCATGGGGTTGACGCGCGCGTTTTCAGATGCCTGTTTATAGCTAAATCCATCAACATCGATAATCTAAGATTAATATTTAGTATTACATATAGCTGAGGTATAATGTATTCGTTCGATAATTTTTCATTTTCCGCCAGGGGCGGATTGGCCTATCGGGAAATCGGGAATCTTCCCGATGGGCCGGTCCTTGTTTGGGCCGTTCTATATTATTATATAATTATCAAAAAAAAGTTTTATTTTATAAAATAAGTAAAAATCATTAAAAAAGTACTTAAAGATGCATTAAGATCAAACTTCAAGTTGGAACTGATTAATCATGTGACTTATCCAAAACTATTATAGCTATAATTATAGTAAAGTTATTGTAGATTTTACTAATTTAGGGGTGAAACTAAGCAAATTTCGAAATTGATATAAAATAAAGCATTTTTTGGGAGGGGGGATGGGTAAAATAGTTTAATTTGCGGTTCATGGGCCGGTTTGTTTCATATTTCCTGGGCCAAAAATAATTGCCAATCTGCCCCTGCTTTCCACCTTGCAATGATTAGCGCTGAACACGTGGATTTACTACATTTATTGTAATTTAAAATGTGTTTATTTCAGCAGACGTCGCAATCCCTAATACTAATACGGATCTTAGAATTTTCATCGTCAGCACAAATTATATGCTACTACTATACTTTACTACACTATACTTTAAATTCATAAAATTTAATCGTTAAAATTCCATTTGAACTTGTTGTGTACTATATTTGATTTTAGTCATCGAATAAACATTGAAAAAATTAACTGAATAGTTAATTACAAAAGTTATTAGTACGTATTGCATGATAGAATCCGTGTTCGAAATATAAAAGGTCACGACGAATATCGGAATTATCTAATGCGATTGTTATAACGTACTGTAAACGCAAACGTATATCTAGATATTGGTACACACACGCATTTATGCAGATTATCACAACGGGGAGCGAATTTCCTGAACCCGAGTAGCTGACGGCGTTATGTGCTGAGAACGGTAAAGGCGTGATAAACACGGTGTATGAGTCCGGGGTGTATCGGAGAGCCACAACAGCACCGGTCCTGCGCGTCCTGCGATCCTGCAGCAGCGGCTCGGACCGGAGAGAGAGCGAGAGTGACACGGAGCACGACAAATTCCATTGATCGTGGACAAACGTCGATTAAATATCGTCTCCGATCAACTGGACTACTCGAACTGCAATACATAATAATATTATAATATATACTCCGCATATTGTATTACATACACACACGTTTAGACATAAGACGTGTATATGTATACGCATGACTATACATCTATATTATATGTTTTAAAAGGGCAATTTCCGCGTGCACACAAAATACGTTGTTGGTCCGCAACAAAGGCGTTGTTATAGTATTTAAAACGGCGGTGCTGCAGGGCGTGTACAAGTAATACAATACGAATTGCTCGGTACATTAAAACATATTTTGTTTGTTTACTCGGACGATTAATGTTTATTTGCTTATGCCTCGTGACAAGGTGGCCGGAGATTACGGTAACAAAGCGTGTATTTGCGAGTATATATGCGTGTGTGTGTGTGTGTACGTGAGCGTAAATGTGTGTGCGCGCGTGTGCAATAAACGATCCTGGTCCTGAGCCATTAAAGTGTATTGCGTTCACATACGCGCATGTATAATTTTTGGGCGATTTATCCCAACACTGCAGTGACCAAATCGATTTGTATTTAGATACATGATCAAACTTTTGTACTCGTGTATTATATTATTTATTATTATGCGACAGCTGCAGCTGCTGCTCTTACCTCACCGCAATTTCGTTACACTATGCGTGATCTGTTATAAAAAGATATGTATATTTGTTTTTTAATCACATTTTCCGACGAAATATGGTACGACCACGACCGCCGCCAAAACACACATATTGTTTTCATTTTTCATCGTGCGCGCATACTGAACGCTATAATTAAGTATCCACCCCCAAAACATATTATAATTTATGTTTCTCTGAATTTTTAGCAAATGCGAGGGACGAACATTTTTTCTTATTTTAACAAAATATTTATACAACTATAAGGATAATATTCTTTAAATTAAGAACGTTTTCCTTAAAGCAGAAATACTAGAACGCTTTGAGATTTATAGATTTTGGAGAACTACATACAGCGAGTTCTTTATAAGCATATATATATATATATATATATATATATATATAGGTACACGTAAAAATCGATGATACATGTAAAATAAATATTTACATGTAATTTAAATGCGTAATGGTTATTTTGTAATATCAAATTTTTACTACTCAAATCTAATTTCATACATCTTCTATTTTGTTAATTGTAATTTTTGATTCTAAACTACATGTAGGTATAGTATATTCAACTCATTGAAAAGTGAAATCCAACATCACCTTTCAACATTAAAAACCTTTTATAGTATTTTTTTTATGCTATTGTTAATTATTATATTGCATTTCTTTTTAATTTTAGATAATTTAAAAAAAATCAAAAGTTATTAGATCACCCATCCTAATGATAAATTTTTTGGTTATTCGTTTAGTATGTGACCTACCGATCGGAAATCGAGTTTAGTATGTGACCTACCTGTATTACCGGGTTTAGTATGTGATCTACCAAAACGATTATTTTTATTATTATTATAGGTACAGAGTACGGACAACCTATGATTGCTTATCTTTATAATTTTATTATATTAATATTATATATAATAACTATTCAAGTGGTTTTTACCAAAAGATATTTTGTCATTTTATTAACAATATTGTCAATACATGTTCAGACGTTAATCCTAAATCGCGTGTGTTTAAAATTTTAAAATGTTAGCAGTTGAATTGTATGCGATTATTTCTTCTGAAAAAACCGTGTTAGAATTTTGATAAAAGAATAAACTATTACCACAAAATAACGAAACTAATTTATGCCATAAATATCACGGTGAAACAAAGATTTACATTAGAAAAAAACGATTAGCTACTGGTGAACTTCGAGAAATCAGCATTATACGATGTAATACAAAAGGTTGTCAAATGTCATTTTATGATTTTTAATTTGACTATTTTTAAATTAATCCGGGTCCGGTAGGTCATGCATACTAAACGAATACCCTATACGGTAGGTCACATACTAAACGAATACCATTTTTTGTTTATATTTATGGTTCCAAAAACAATAAATACATATTAAGTGATATGAAATAAATCACAGATTTACTATTTTATCTTGAGTCCATCACCTAAATTAACGAATTATATAACACTTAAATGGTAATAAATATAAAGGAATATATTGTGTTTATATGAAATAAAATTGTTAAATTTGGCTCAATATTATACCTTAATTATAAGTTCCTCAACGTCGAATGGAAATCAATTAGGTAATAAATATAAATTTGTAACAAAAGAAAAAAAATCACAAATAAAAATAATAAATTTCAAAACACGTGTAAGAAATATTGCCATTTAATTTTAAATAATTATGAAATCAATCTCGAATAATGTATTTTGCAATTTTTCTTTATATTAAGGTTCTCCATTATAAGTTTTTTTTTAACATTATTTTACTCAGATTTGGGAAAATCGATAAATGAAATAGACATATGTAACCTGTACCAAAATTGACTTTAGAAAAAGGTGTATGTATGAATTAAAAAATAACGAATCATGTTATACAATTATCAATGCACATAATTGTATACGTTATAATGAACATTTTAACAATATTATTATTACTATCACTCACACGTGTATATTCACTTGAAAGTTATAATTTATAATATTAAAATAGTTTTTTTTTCAATAATATTATATTATTATACGAGTAGGTATACGAATATCGTTTGAATTTAAAAAGACGCGAAAAATATAACAATAAGAGTAGTAGAATAATGATTTGTTTGTCGGAGGTGGAAATTAATAATTGAGAATAAAAATAATAATAATAATAATAAATTGTATATACTTTTAGACGGTACAAATTACAAGTTCTATGTGCGAGTAGTAGTGGAGCATATCATGCATGGCCGATTTAATTGGTACCGGCATTTTATAAAATCTATAAAACGTTTAATTTATTGCATTTTTCTTAATTATTGTATCAGCTAATACTTAATACTTGGAATGTGATTAGCATCCGTTCGATGGAGATCAAACAAACACTGTATAAACTTCAAGCTTGTATTATCTATTTGGTTCGTCTATATAAAAACCTATAGAAGAATGTACGCAGTAATATTCGACGAACGACATGATGTCAATTTAACGAGATGATTTACACCCATATGTACCTATAAATTTGATATATATTATAAATTACTTCCGAAGCTGCATTACGCGAGAAGAATTTTACCGTATTTTCAGGGTACGCGGCGTTGTCGGGGTGCAGCAGCATGCGAGATTATGTTGACAAATCACAAAATAGCATCAGGGACGCGACCGTTAGGGGTGGTAAGAGGGAAGGTGGGAGGGCGCGTTTGGCCCATGTGTCAACGTAAATAAGGGCTGACGACGACATCGCAGCGGTGGTGGTGGTGTCGACAACAAGGGACAATAGCGGCACGCGGCGGGGAGGGGGGGTTGAATAAATGCCAAACGGCACGGATTACTTACGGGTTCCGGCGAACACGCCCCCTCGGGACTGAAGAACGGATCGGGGTGTACCTGCCCCGCGGGCCACCGACCAATGGCGCGCGCGACTCCCGATCCCGCGACTACCGTCTGCACCCGCCACCCAGTGCCGACCACGCAGAGTCCACCGCCCGGCTCGGCGGCGGTGGCGGCGGTGGTAATCAGACGTAACGCGCGGCACTTAAACGATCGACGGCTCTGTGAAACGTTTATCATAGTTCAGCGGTAAACGCGCCACTCTTCTACTCGTGTGTGTGTGTGTGTGTGTGTGTGTGTGGGTGCGCGCGCGCGTGTATGTGCATGTGTGTATACACGACGATTACGAATTTTCGACGCGTGCGATCCGTCCAACGGCAATAAACAACATTAATGCTGATCGTTAATTTATCGTCGAAAGACTTCTTTTAACATCGCAGTTGCAGCGCGACAACTTTTTTTTTTTCTCTCGCTACCGACGTGTTAATCATCCGTATTGCAAAGAACACCGTCTCGACGCGGGTGCGTTAATAGACACCGTGGTCGCGGGTAAACGATGACCGGCGACCAGTAACTTGGTAACGCGCAACTTATTGGCCCGACCGGACCGCGTGCACCCGTCGCCGACGACGTTCGACGACGGACCGATGAAATTGGACGGACGGCTCGGGTGCGACGGCGCGTACGGCTCGGCCGCGGGTCTGGGCGACAACGGGAACCGTCCCGAGCGGCCGCCGACGGTGACCATGACCACCGCGACCACGGCCACGGCGGACCACTGCAGGAACGAGCGCGGCCTGCAAATGTCTCCGCAAGAGCCGTGCGACTGCGACCCCGAGACTCGGGGGCAGGCGACCGCCGGTTCCGCAGCCGTGCCCAAGACGTCGGCTGTCGGCTCGTCGCTGTTCACCATCGACAGCATACTGGCCCCGTCCAGACCGTTGGACGCCGCCGCGGCCGCAGCCGTCACCGCCGCCGGCCGCAACAACGTCAGCACGGCCACGGCGGCCGCCGCGGGATTCTTCAAGCAGCCCATCAACTTCGGTCATTTGGCAGCGGCCGCGGCCGCGTCCGGCTACGCCCATTCCACAGCCGCCAACTTTTTAGGTAAGTCCGTATACGATTGTTACGTGCGTTACGTTACACGGTCGTAATCACGACAAGAAAGGTACAAAGGGAAGAAACTGTCGTCCACGATACTTTTACCGGGGGCGGGAATTGACAAAGGTATTATCTCTTGTTCAAAGTTCTAATTCAAACGTTCAGCGCGAGAGAAAATTCAAAAATCGTTTCATTTGTGCAACGTATATGGTAAAATATATTTCACGTGATATCATATCCTAAAAGAAAAAAAAATTAAACTCTTTTTAACTGGTTTAACACAGATGTATTTAATTATTTTACAATACAATATATTTTTATGATAAAGTTTATAACATGAAAATATATAATACTTAACATAATTGATTCTTTAAACTTATGTATAGACTTATATTACTTGGTTGATAATATTACATTACAAAAATATAAATATTGTACATAACATGTATTTAATTAAGATTACTAATCATCTTCACAGTGTGATTTAAAGTTAAACTTATATGTTTGCTGAAAACAAGCAATCTAACGTGTTTAGGAGATAAAAAAAATCATGATCCATAAAAGGAACAATTATTTTATTCACGTGATTATGAAAATAATTATCAGCACTATAAACTATTGTTACTTCCTTCTATTATAGTAAATTTAATCTATTAATCACTAATTTATTTATTAAGTTTAATAATTTTTTACAGTCGGAGAAAAGTTATGTTTATAATGTAATTTTAATAATTATTTTACTTATTTATTTATAATTCGCATATTTAAATAGTTTGTTCATTGTTTTAAATGCATGATAAAATAAAAAAATCTCATATTTATTATATTTATTTATTTATTTATTTTTTTTTAGGTCAACTAATAGTTATAAAAATGAATAAAAAAATTGAATGTCTGTGTCGCAACTATTAAAACAGAAATGATCAATAAAATATTACTTCGGTTTTGTCATATAGATCTTCGTTTTTAAATATAATACATTTAATTTAATATTTAAACTATTAAATTAATACTTATTAAATCAATGTATTAATTTTCTCGCATTTCATGTACACAACAATTTACTTCATATCTTCATCTATTATAAATAAATTCTCATTTAAATTCTTCTTCTATGAGTTCCTATCCGTTCCAGATGTTGGATATCATATCGGCAATGTCATTTCTGTCAAATGATGCCCGAATTAAATCTATTGATGTAGTATTGTACCAGTCGCGGAGATTCTTCATCTTGAATTCCTTCATAATCATTCCTTTCGTATACATTATTAATAATACAATTTTTCGCAGATTTATTTTAGCTAAAAATTTTATATTTTTATATTCATTGAAAAAATTTTAAATTATGATTAGAGTTTGTATAATGAACAACTAAATTATTTTAATGCTAAAATCTTTGTTTAAGTGATCGTAGCAATGAAATATGTATTTTGCGATCAACGTTCAGTTTTGCAAAAGCTATATTAAACCAAACTAAAACTGATATCCGAGTAAAACCGATTCATACAGCATCGGTCATCGAAGAGGTTTCATTATAACTGAAGTGTTTATTTGTTTTATGTTATATGTTATCGCATTTAAAATGTTAAAATACTCACAAAGAACGTATAGTATAATAATAATTATATATGATATGCATACCACTATTCAATACGCGCAGGCGTGTTTAGGCTATTCATATATCCTTTTATATATAATACATATTATGTGTTATGTGTTGTATACGTCCCATGTTTATTTCCCCAAATACTATTTTTTTCAACACGTGACCAGCCGATAATATCGCTGACAAATCTCCCCTTTGCCACCCAGTAAACATCTGTGTAGTGTGGGTATTTTAAATCCGTTTGCAATATGCAAAGGCTTCGCAAATAATTGCTTCGCGTATTCAAAAAGATTTCGTGGACCGTGTGAAGCCATGCGCCCGTGCAACGCATTGTGTGTGACATTCAATTTCTGATATTTTCGAGTATTATAATGTAACGAAAATACACCTGATTGAGCATAAAAGGGTTTTCGTGGATTGGAGGTACATGGGGTGGATGAAAACGCTTAAACCACACCGACCATAATCGCTTGTTGATACTCGTACTTATACATTTGTATAACTACGACCGCCTACGTACATCTAAATATATACGGTATTTGATATTATATGTATATGTATTCAAACACCATAAGTTAATGAATACAAAACAGAGATTTTTTTTCAAAATCTCTGGATAAAAAATACATAAGTATTGAATATTGTATCAACACTATCACTTTTATGTAATAAATCTGCTATCCTTTAAATAGTACTTATATGTTTATACTCGTATGAATTTCACATCGAATGTTTGAAAATAATTTAACCATCTAACTATCCGATTTAATCCGCACAAACAAATACGCATTTAAATATTTATTTATTTATTTTTTTTTTTTTTATGTTCACATCCGAAACGTAAAATCAGAATTTTAAAGTCAAAAACTAAATAAACGCATAGCAGATGAACAGACATTGAATTCGGATAGTATTTGATCAGTAGGATAAGTCATCTCCACGTTTTGTGTTATAAAACATTTGAGACACGGGTGATATTTAATTTGTTTTAGATTATTTATGGCTTATTCGGACAGACTTTTCGATTTAGTTTAGCGTTCCATTTCCATTGCCCGTGGTTGCTCGTATACATGTATACACACACACACACACACACACATCTATATAGGACGCTAAATCTAACAAATCCTAAGAGCTTTGTTTCGTTCCCTCGCCCGGCGAAACCACGGCGATGCCCACATACGTATGTATGTGGATCGAACTTTAATCAACCATGAATAAGTAATGCACAACGGCCGTGCATGTTTGCATTGTTCCCCGTCTGTGGTTCAAATCAGATCAACGGTGCCCCAGGCACGGTATTGTGTTATGCATATAACGATATGTATTATATACGTTAATACGCACACGTACATAATATCAACCCTCTCGCTCCAACCGCGTTTCCACCGTATACATTCGAAAAAACTATATTCCGCCCGTGGTTTGTTTTCGAATTACTTTTTCGAAACTCAATAATGTAGTATTTATTTATAAAACACGCGTATATTTCACGTACGAGTAAAACGTTTGTTTGTTGTTGTTTTATTTTCTTTTTTATCCCAAAAGTTTTTTTTTTTTTACTGAAAACATTAAATGTGCGTCGGCCACCGAAAGTACCTATACCTGTATTACTGCTGTAATATTTCTATTTGGTTATTGACGATCTGCGTTTACGTTATCGTTGCAGTGGCGGCCGCTGGTTACCAGAGCATCTATCCTAGTTACATGATGGCCATGGCAGTAACCGGTCATGGTGGTACGTCCGGTCATCATCACAGTCCCACGTCCATGTTCGCAGGACCGCCGGCCAAGAGAAAGAGAAGACATCGGACCATATTCACAGAAGAACAACTAGAACAGTTAGAAGCTACTTTCGAAAAGACTCATTATCCGGACGTAGTGCTCAGAGAGCAGTTAGCACTAAAAGTGGACTTGAAAGAAGAACGAGTAGAGGTAAGTCGATCCAATAGGCCGTACCTAGGCTATATTTATAGTATAATTTCTTCGTACAACAGAATACCAGCAACCTGTGAGATAATCAGAAACCGTTATGTTTCACTCGTAGCAAAGCAATTAATATATTTCAAATATATCCAATGTGATTTGTAAGGTTAGGTTATTACACGATTGCGCCCATTTTACCATTCTAGATTTAAAATTTTTACATGATTGCGCTCCATAAAATCTAGTTATTGGCTTTTTAACAATTTTCTGGTACACTATTTATAAATATTAATGAATAGCATAATAAATTATAATATATATTTAATTACAAAGTATAATATATAAGTTATTGTTACAAAACATTACCAACTTTATTGAGTTATTTTATAAGTATGTTATGCCCAATTCATGATATTATTGATTTCATATTTCATGGGGCACAATTTTATGTTTTTTTCGCATAAAAAATAGTAAAAAGACGTAATCAAGTTGCAGCATATTTATAAACGTATAAAAAACTTATTTTAGAATAAATAACAAAATCGTTCAAATTTTTAAAAATATACATATTAAGGTGCATGACCACAGTCAGTGAATGTTGAGTCACTAGTCTATATCAACATACACCGAAAATCGTATTGAATGTTGCTAAAATATCATTTATGCAGTCATAGGTACACCGGTGGTTATAAACATTTACAACTAGTGTATTGTAAATTCTGATCACATTTGAAGTGATAATATTAAGATTTAAGACGTTTTTGCTTTATTAAAATATTTTGAAACTTGTTTTTTTTATTAAATCGAGACATATGCTCGATTACTACTATTATTTTCTCTCGAGATAATGAGACAGTAATCTCGATACTTAACACTTCGATTTTCGATGTAAAATTGCTGAGTTTAACTTCGTAAGTATTGACGCGTATACTAAACTAAGCACAACAGTATTTTTCATACTGTTTAAAAGTGTTATTTTTAATATAAATTTAAATTAAATATAATATTATCCATCATAAAGATGGAAAGTATAAAAGGTATTTTTTATGAAAAGATTAATTTACCTTTATAAAAAAAAAAAAAAATTGTTCATAATTTTTTCTATTTAAGTGAAAAATTGTATAATAAATGTATGAGTGAAGTTATTAGTGTTAAAGAAAAAGAAATAAATAGTGAACTGATTACAGAAGGTTAAATCAGTTTGGCGTTATTAATATTATGGATAATCATAAGCTAATCGTTCCATTAATTTTCAATACCTATGCAAAAAAAAAAAATAGTATCACTTGACAATGTTTTATCAGATCAAACGGTTTCTTTACGATAATATCGACAGCTGTTTTCAAAAGTGGTAGCCATGGTTTTTAAGATGCCACTAAAAAATAAAAATTTAACACAAAAAAAATTAGATGTAAAAACAGGGTTCCCTCATTACTCTGAAATGGTAAATGCCACGATAATTTACCATGCTGCAATAAATAAATTAGAATTGTACATCACAACGAATTTGTCACTATAAACTAAATTTAATCATCTAATCTCAATCTATTTATTACTTCATTATACCTCTTATTGATTGTAAAATATTGTAATTATATGATTATTATTCGTATGTTAACATTCAACAAAATTATTGTTAAAGGTCGAAAACCATCGGTGATTGTCGACATTTACGGCTAAGCGATCATACATAATTTTAGATCCGTATCTAGATTCAAAACCTATTATTAATTAATTAATTGTTATTAATCATTTATAAATCAAATGAAAAAAAAAAATTATAATCTTATAAATAATTTATTTTTTAATTCACAACATTAGTACATAATAAAGTATACGAGATATTGTACTGAGTATTTTATCTTAGTATTTTATGTTATTAGAATAATACATAGCTTATAGTATAGAAATGTATTCGACGAACTATTGTTATATTTTTTTAATAATATTTCAACTTTAAATAATCAAATAGTTTATGATAGAATACGAAAACAGAGATATATTTTTTTAAGTACACATTATTTAGGTTAAATTAATGTGTATATTTACATTTAATATCTTAAAAACAATACTTCTACTAGGTTAGGTTAGCTATATTGTTTTTATTAAATTATAGCATATGTATGAGTATACGTAATTTTGAGTCAGTTCTTAATTTTTTGAGTTTATCAATGTTATCAAGTACAAAATTAATTTTAAGTAGAAAATTATATTTTAATTTTGAAAAAAATAAAATCTAAATAAAATAAAATACAGTGGACAACAATTTATAATGATAAAAAATTTTAAGTGTACGTAATCGAGGTGATGACTAGTATTGTATCTGATATCACTTCAAAAGTTATTCATAACTTATTTATACTATTGATAAAATAATTGAACATATTCATCAAATGTATAGCTTATACTATATACTAATACTATTGTTTTCAGTATTTCATTATATTTTTAACCGAGGAACTTTTGTTGAACGTTTAATTAGTGATAAAAATAAGGTGTGAGAGTAAGTGCTTCCTTCCCTAAGTCTATGAGGTAAATTGTCGCTATTTAATATAATTTAATATAACCCTCATCTACATAAATGTATCATAAAACGTGCCTATCAACTGTGGTTGCGTATTTTAACTCTTTTGATCGTTCATGTCAATATTTGAATGCAATATTTGAGTACAGGAAAATTAATATGCGATGAATATATTTAACTATATTATAAAAAATACTTGATAACACTCAAAAAAGTTGCATAGTATAATTATTAAGTGTGTCCTCGAAATTCTTATTAAATAATAATAATTTTAAAATAATAATTTTTCTCGAAAAATTAAAAACAATGGAATGGTTATAACGTTTAAGTTATAAAAAAAAAAAAAAAAGAAATTAACACCTAAATAAAATAAAGAATTGGAGTTGTATACCTTCGGCTAGAATAAAAAAATTTAAATTAAGTATTTCAATGCCTTAAAAATTTATCGGGTATTGTTAAACGTATTATTATTTGAAATTCTGCATATTAATCTAATAATGATGTTACAAAAACGGACACTAAATATACCGATGTGGTACAATATTTTCTTTCCTCTCATATCATAATGCGGTTATTATTAAAGCGTGGCATGAACGATTGTGAAAACTCACACATGTTTACTATTTTAGGGGTGTAATTGATAGGAAATCTATATATATATATATATTATAGTTGTCAGGGTTAAGAGGTCTTTTTCTCTCTTCTCCTGCTCATTTTAGGGGCGAGGAATCACGTACTGAAGTGTTTTGATTGGGTTCGGTCGAATGGCTTTAGGGTAACAATGAACCTTCTGGATTTATTTTAATTAAATTGCGTGATATGGTTTCGTTTTCTCTATTTCCGTAACAATATTCGCATGTTTACAAGACGAATTAATGGGAAATGGCTTTTGTACAGTTTCCTCAACGATGATTAACCAACTTAAGGCACTGTGTGCTTTTGTTGATCTTCGAACCCTTATAAATGAAAATCTTTAATTGTGTCAAAAGCTTTTTATTATTATTAGCTGTTTTTCCTTTAGAATTCATAAACCCATAAAAAAAGAATACATGATTTTCGACAAAATATTAATTTAACCATCATTATGTGCAACCTAAATGTGTAATAATTATTATTTTTTTTTAAAACATTAACAGTATATTGATAACGTATTCAATTACTCCATTCACTTGTATAGCAAATTACGAATATTAAAATATTTGCTCTATGACTGTATACTTATTTAAAATAAATTCTATTATTTGTATTCAATATTTATATATTAAAAACTATACTTGTTCTACTTGATTTTAAAATATAATATTTTGTTACATTAAATTTAGCAAATTAAATCATATAGATTATAATATTTAAGTTTACATAATGTACATGCGTGAATGATTTTTATTAATAAATCATAGCTTATTATTTTACTTGGTTACAGAATATTTATTAACAATACAATACATGAATTATTTACATTCATTGCTTTGCCTCCATTCTTAATCTTAATATCATTATTTTAAAACAACAAAATCGCTATGAAAATGAAAATATTTTATCGATTCGACTAATACATTGACATAATATTTTAAAACAAAACCGCTCTATTTCGTTTATTTTAGTTTTGCACGCGTTTTGTGTGGTGGAACTTTAGTTGACTTAAAATAATACCTCATCATTACATAAGTTAAAAAAAGCAAAAGAAAAATTTAAAATAATACAAAATCCAAAAAGAACCCTAAACTTTGTATAAAATGTATCCCGAAACCAGTAAGGCCAAGGGAAGGAATTACGCAAAAACAATACGTCAATTTTAAAAAGAATCCTTTTTTCCGCAAACCCGATGAAACATAAACAACGACTAAGGGTACTAAGGCGAAGCGGTATGTTATTTTTCCTAAAATATTATTATTTTATAATACTATATACATAATATACATTTTTTCATTTCGTGTATAAGAAGATGGCTGAAGTATTTATTATTTTTTTTATTTTTATTATTGTTATTATTATCATAAGGCTATTCAACTGTAACGCGGAAAATACAATAAGCTCCCTAAAGGCTGCCGCCATCCCCGGTCACCACATTCAAATCCGGACGTGGGAAATAGGGACACTTGGAACTAATATAATAAAATCAAAATTCAACGATCAACATAAATGTTACATAATAATATTTCACAAAAATCAGAATTTGCATAGCATACTACACTTGTTTTATTAGTTGACTGAAACTATTATCGATTTACTATAACTGTTTTTGCAATTGTGTCCTTATTAAGAAAAAGTTAATCAAAACAATATGGCCTAATTTTAAAACACTCGCCACAAAAAAGTGTACTAGAAACTGCCAAGACGTCGCACGTATCATAATAAAATAAGTTATTTTCAAATGAAAAGTATAATAAACCCCCCCCCCCCCACAGCTGTATATCTAACGTGTTTTAATGAAAAAATAAAAGAGATATTACATTAATATCAATAAGTGTAGTAAGCGTTCATAGTTTTAATAAATTCGTATAGTACAAGTTTATAATATATTTTTAGGTAAAATAAAATACATACCCGTTTGTTTTACGAGTAACAATTAAATCTATGTATCATAGTAATCTTATATAATATATATAATTGATGTACTTTTTGGTTTATTTTTATGTTTTTATGACGCACGCGAATATAGTATCAAAAACGAAACCAAATCTACAAAATATAATAAATGCAATATAAAGTTGTCAAATCTCACATAACGTGAAACGCGCTGTAGCACCCCATTAAATATGTGTGTATACTATGCGTACCGGCATGTTTCACGTGAGTGTTCAACTGATCCGTGAAAGCATTGGTGTGTTTATGAGACCGAAATAATTGATACAAAGGCTGCGTTTGACTGATGTTCCTCATACCTGTACATATACGTATACATATTATATATTATACAAATTATTATCTTGTTGCTGTGCGCGCGTTTTGACATTTTTATCGCGTATGAGAAGGGTAGTGCATGCATTCTGCCGATGTTATGAATCATGAGTTCTTTGTATATTAGCTGTATGTAAAAGAATAGTTTTTCAAACACAGATAAATGCATATAACGATAAAAATAGCTGCCCCTATAGTTTGTTATGGAATTCTATAAAAATAAAAATGTAAATTGTAAATATTGCATTCGCTACAACGTATGGTCTGCGCGCTAACGAACAGCAGGCCATAGGTACGCGTTAATTTACAGCATACATAATTGTTGTGCTATTTGGTTAAGATAATGGTTTCACGTGATCAAAGTTTTTTGTTTTGTTATAAGAACTTTGATAGATTCGTTTAAACTCAATTCTATGAATTTTAAGTGCATTAGTCGACAAAATATTAGCTTCTTTTAAACACGACTGTTTCATATTCTTTGTTTCGTTCAAATAAACATACTGAATACATTGTTTCTGTAAGTTAGAAAACTAAAAATATGTACGAGTAATGGAAAAACAATAATTTATTTTATTTTAAGTAAAATTTTATCGTTTCAAATTCGTAAACGTTTTAACTTTTTCGTTTAAGTATTTGTTTTTGTTGTATTTGTTCTGTTTTTACTTTTTTAAATTAACTATAGCAATATTTTAAATCCTGTTGGAAATTAATCTAATTCATTATTTCATTACTTTTATATTTGTCAAAGAATAATAATTATTTATTTATTTATTCTGAAAAATGTTATGAAATTATAAATTACATTTTAGATGCCACCATTTTAACAAAATGCAATGAAACGATTAGGGATATTTAGAAGTAGCCGCTTGAAAGTCACTATTATGAAATAGTCATTTAGACGTTTAGATGAAGTAACATTTGCAAGTGACTGTTTAAACATCTAAAAAATATAAATATTACTATACTATAACTTAAACTATATTGTAAAACATCGTATCAGAATAAAAATATGTTATAATAATAAAATATTTTAGTTAATACAAATATAAGTATAAACTACAAATTTGGATGTTGAACCACCCATCTTAGTTATATACAAATTATACACATTAAAGCAAAATTTATTATTTTCTGCAGGTATGGTTTAAAAATCGTCGGGCGAAATGGAGGAAGCAAAGACGTGAGGAACAAGATAGACTGAGGAAGATGCAACATCATCTGGTGGAACAACCCGGGGTGTCCAATGGGCTAGCAGCAGCTGTAGCAGCAGCCGCGGCTAGAGGTGGAGACCCTATGCGTTTGGTCCATAACATGCACGTGGACGAAGAAGAACTCGACGAAGACCCCGATTCGTCTGACCTGGAAGTCGCTTGAGTGTTCCTATAGACTGAATGAATTGTTGTGGATTTTTCGGATAACTGGTTAATTCTAACAACAAAAACTGTACGCAAGTGTACACATAAATATAGAGTTCGTCTTAACCATTAAGTTATAATCACATTACACAATTTAATTATAATTATATACAACACTCAAATGGCTAAAAATGTCATAATATGTTACCTATGCTTTTTATATATTAAGCAATTCATTGTTGTTGTGTTATATGTATTTCGAAAGATGAATAACAAATGTACATAGATCAAATACGACGATTGCATTAGATAAAAAAAAATCAATAATAAACATTCTACTATATCATATAATAATTAAATTTCTGAAAATGTTCGTGCCAATTAAAATTTTGTAAAAAAATGCTATAACTGTGGTAGTATTAATGCTATTTAAATATGCATGTAGGTTTATGAAACTTTAATATTTGTAAGTAGTAATTATTTTGTCGGTAGTACATAGAGATTTTTAAGTTAAAAATTCACCCGTAAAATCATAAACGTTGTGTTATATTTTAAATGTAAATTATGTAAACATCAAAAACATTTTTTTTTTTTGACACAACAATAATTGTTATAATTATTATAATACATACATATAATATAATATAATAAAATAATTGTTTAATTTTCCATGTATATTGTGTGATGCAAATAAATGTAGATGCCTTTTAAAGAATAGTATTTTCAAGAGTGTTATGTAGTATAACCAAGAGATTTTTTTTAATTCGAATAACACATGTATTTTTTAATCTGTACGGATATTTTGCCGATAAGTTTGGTAATATGAATCAATTAAAATAAAATAGATTTTTTTTTTACTTCTTATACTTAACTCTAAGCCAGGCTTCTTTGCTTATATAACTAGCACTTATAAATGATTTGTATACACACATTTAATCTCTGGACTCGAAATCTATCGAGAATTACCGATTGTAGTAATACTTAAACTAATATAGGTAATAATTAAGTTATATTATTAAAATCTTTAAAGGATGTGGATATAATACATTTATCGATATTATATTCATTATAGAATATATCCTGCGACAAAATCATGAATATTATTTTCTAATGGATACATCATAATATTAATAAAAACAATAGTTATATTTTGTAAAAACTGCAGTAAAAATCGTTAAAATCTATAAAAAATATTGATTATAAATCACGGTAAAATAATAATTTACATTGTGCCTAATAAATAATTAAAATTGTTTAATTTTAACTACATATTCACCACAAAAATGTGATGTGTGTATATATTTCTCTCGTACGTGTTTACTTATTTATATAACTATGCACGAAGCCTCCACTATTTATCAACTCAGGGATGGACCCAGGAATTTTTCAAATGGAGGGGTTACAAATTACCAATCGAGCGGGGGAGACCAATAAGGAGGGAATATTGACTATAACCGGAGGACGTACCGCCACAATCTGTTAATCAATATTTTATAATGTACAATTTACCATGACGTAGAGAAGATATACTATATCAACCATATTATAAAATCAGTGATTTGCACCTTAAGAATTTTAAATTCTGTCAATCAATGGGGGGAGGGTCCAGACCTCGTCTTGGGTACGCCCCTTTAACAACTACATTACATTTTTTAATGCAAATCGCAAGTACTATGTCGAACATATCAGTGACACCTTGATATCGGTACCTAGAATTTTCGAACTACCAGTCTTATATCAAATACATTAGTTGTTCGTTATAATTGCTATAATAATTAATATAAATAACAATAAAAATATTTTTTGAATAATAATTTTAAGACTTACAATTTTTAAAAATAAACTTAAGTTCATCGATGCACAACACATTATTTTATATGTATGTATAAGAATTAATAAATTACATTGTATAACTTAACTTCTAGTCACTTATAATATATATATATAAGAATAAAATACAATATTATAATTTATCCATACAATAATTATTTATTAAATACTTACTGTAATAATATATTTATACACTAACGATATATCCGAGTGTAGCTTAATATGTATTATTTTTGTTTTGTACATTGTTTTAGTTGATTATTATTATATTAAATAAACTGATTGAATCGTATTTGATATTGTACAAATAATTTCCAACACCCACTACTCCACGCCGTGATAATTTCCATCGATGGGTATTCCTATCCCAAGACTATGTAGTGTCAGTGCGGAATATGCTAGGTTTTTTTTTATTATTTTTTTTTTTCGCGTTTATAAAATATTATCGTCAATTATGTTTTTTAAATAAAAAAAAAAACAATTGTTTATACAGTTAAAAAATAAATACATTTTCTCGTTCTCCGCGCTCTCCCGTCTGTTCGTACTGTAATACGTTTTTAGGTACATAATAACGTCCGTTGATACCCGATTGTAACGCAGAATTTCTGCGGGCACGTAACATATACGGTGACGGGTTCAAGATCTTGTCGGTCAACCGACACGTTTTACATTCCTGCCCGCACAACGCATCGGACTCAGGACGACGTCACACGGCGTGAACACGCTCGGATGACGAGTGACGCGCGTAGGTGAAAAACGTTGGAGTGTCACAGGGCCTGTTGTCCCCGCGGACGACCCGTCTGGCGAACGCGATGGTTATCCGCCCGGGAAATTATTTACTTGGGGGGGGGTTGATTTTTAATGCGTTACTGCCGCGAAATCTTGTATCACACCGCAGGGTAATTGTTCGGAAAGAACGGATGCGCTATTACCTACACACGCTTTACACATTGTTCATGTACGTAATAGTTGCAAGTCTTTGGAATTCATTACGAATTCGTAGTCATAATCTGATCTACTGTAGAGTCTGAAGAGTTGTTACGGGTTATAATTATACACTACTTTACGATAGTTTTCAGTTATTTTTTAATTTTAGTTACAAGTACAAGTTGAATGTAATAGAAAAAAATAGTGTTTTCCGAATTTCACACGTGAACTGTGAATATGTTATTAAATTATTATCATATATTCATACCTGCGAGTCATGGTCGTTTTGAATGATAAGTTTACTTGATTTCATTTCATACATTAAATCAATGTTTTTCGACCAAAACTTTATTAGTTTCTTCAAATTTTAGACTTATTTTTTTTCTTTTTTTTTTTCTTAGTTCTGATTTACTTTCTTTTTGATTCTTATTTTAAAACTAAACGAATTGTTTGATCAAAAACTCGTAAATAATAAACGAATAACTTCATAAAACAAGCATATAGCGTATTACGAGTATAAGTTACTATAAATCACTATAATATGCGCTATGCGAGTTTATAAAAAGTGTTCAATAAGTTTAAAAAAAAATTTATTTGAAACACAATACAAAACTTTTTATATTACTCAGATGCAATTGAATAATTTTCCGACGGAATCTAAATTATAAGATTATAATTATAAATACAGACATAATAACTCAAATAATATATTATAAATCTTTTTAAATTTGTTTTATGTAATTTATCTAGACAATTCGAATATTCAGGTTTGTATTGTTTTGTACCAGATGTATTATGTAAATCATGTATACATCATACCTTATATAGGACATAATAATATAATAACATAAGTTTCAGATTTTGAAACATCTCAGAATTTTTTTTTAGAAATCAATAGTACGAGTATAGTAATTTAATTGACTACACGAGTAATTCATTTTAGAAATTACTTACACAATTCATTTCAGCAATATCCATAGATGAAACTGTGAACAATATGAAGTCAATGAACAGTTATCATACAATCTAATAGCCATAGATTTTAGTATTTTTTTAAGCAAAAGTACTCGTAGCAAAGGTACATTTTTTTATCAACTATACGAGATGTCGTACACACCAATAAGCAATAGTGATTTTAGCAAATAATTTATACCTATATTGCTATAAATCTATCACTATAGTTAGATAATTGTAATGATACGGTTTTAATCGAAAGCGGATAATTAAATACAATTAAATCAATTTTAATTTTAATTTTTTTTTTTACAAAATTCTAAAATCAAAATAGTTAGGGATATTGAGGTTAATTACTCCGTCTATACGTGTATTTTTGATGTATATATATAGTATTTTATCTAAATTATCTAAATAACCATTTCATCCGAAAAATCTCTAAATAATATCATATTATAATTACTAGAATTTCGTATATATAATAGGAATAACCGACGTTTTATAGTGTATAATTTATATTTATTGAAATTATGTGTTTTTATTATACGGGAAGATTTAAATATTTTCTAGCAAAATAATTAACAGCTAATTTTAAAAACTATTAACTATTATTTTAAACATGTTCCTCTTAGATTTGAAGTATAATATATTATATTATCATGTTTAAAACCAAATTTTATTTTAGAATTTGGTACTTACTCGATAATTTTCCATTAATTTTTAAAAATACTCATTTTTACGCTGCATTACATATTTTACTATAGAAGCTATATAAAACATTAAAACTATTAATAGTGAGAAAATATAATATTATTATATAATGCCTCACAGGTTTTAATTTCTTGTAATAAGTTATCAATATTTTCTAATATATTTATATTTCACCAAGTCGATCGTTTATTACGTGTTTATAAATATTATTTTTTTATTAAATACCCATTAGTTCATTACACTCGGTGACGTAAATTCGAGGGATCAGAGGGTATAATAGCACCCAGATTCAAACACGTATTAAGGGAGCGTGAGATTATATGAGCTGTCAATCAATTTTTTCTTTATTAGTTATATTTTACGGATGGATAAAACATAATTTGAAAGAACATTTTCCAAATAACTACCCAGACTTAGTAGAAGAATAGACCGAGGTCAGGTTAATTTCTTTCTAGGAATTAAACCCAAATATTAATTAACTATGATAACTCCCTCAAACTGTATTTATATATATATAAAAATAATCAAAACATGTTAAATATCATAAAGGTTAGTAAATATTATTTTCCTTAGCAATTTAAAATTCTCATATATCATAACAAACAGTCAAGTCATTAATATTGTTTTTTTTTTTTTAACAATAAACGATGCAATATAATGTTTATTATAATACAATAGTGTACATTTTACGAAAAAAAATGCTTAGTTTTTATTTATAGTAACGCAATTGATATTCTTGAAATATACATTTTTAGATATTTATTCGTTGCTAGGCAACGTTAATAGCTCATCCTTTAGTGTCACAATTCCGTAACGCTACGAGGCAATGCTTTACGTGTTGATTTATACCACGGTACCTCTTAAAAAACGCATTATACGATCAAATAATAAACCATTATGCTTATTCAGAAATTACCACTACGAATTAGTACTTAAAAATAGCCATCTGATGCTATATCCTATAATCTGTTCCGTGTAAATATAGTAACGAAAAATTTTATTTTGTTCTATTTTGTTGAAGAACATTAAAAAAATAATAGCTATGGTCTTAAGATTTATGATGCGTCCTTATTTCGGGCGCAGACATGCAAGTATAGCTATATACTTGCAA